CGCTCACACTCTTTTAATACTCCAGAGTACTTCACGATTGAACGCAGCGAACGAGTAAAATATTTTTCAACACGACAGAAGAAACTTCGTATCTCCAAGCGGCAAAATAACATGTTATTGTCACGTGTGAAGATATAACGTTTTCGCACGAAAACTCGCCTGGTATTTCATTTGCGTTTATATAAGTATAAGTTGAAAAGTATTGTATATTGTGTTTCAATTGACTTTATTAGTAAAACTATACGCATACGTTATTTAATTTTCTTTTAATTAACAAGTTGTTTATACAGAATTGTGACGTGTAGCCATTTGTTAATTGGGCACTTGCTAAACATACGTGATAATTTACTTTTGGCTTTGCCAGGCTTTGAACTGGTGAAATTATGTTCAAAGTTACCAGCATTAAAAAAACAACAACAACAACAAAACAACAACAACAAAAAAACTTACGAATTTTAACCCCGTATATAGGGTGCATTCCTTCGATTAATTGGTAATTAGATTGTGTATTTAACTGTGACGATCTTCTAAAAATTAAATCTTTATTCTGCAGTTCAATTTGCTTGAATTTCATATATTCTATTTAACGTAGTCCTCTTTAATGGTTATGTCACCAATCAACGGCCACTTTGTCCCACAAATACGCTGTATCCCGTAAATTTCCTACATAATAAATATCTCGTATTCCTAAAACCTCATAGGGCTTCATAAAATTATATATGAGACGCAAACAGGAAAAACAGATGTAGTGAATTAGCTATAATTCGTCATGAGGTCTTTATTCTCTGCAAATTAAATGAACTTTTACAGTAAGAAATGACGAAAAGAGGTTGTAAACTTTTGCCTTTACACGTTACCTGCAACAAAACAAAATATAAATATAGCATGGTTAACCATTATTATAAAAGGTATCCATGCTCTCAAAATAAAAAGAAATTTCCCCTCTAGGCTCCGTATTAGATATAAATATACAAGCTCTTTGAAAAATTTGGTTTCATTTCGAAGCAACTTCCCATGTATTCATGACGTTCTTTTTAATGCCATAATACATAAATTTGATATTTTTATTTTAGGGTGTGCTAAACAGTGGTGACTTAGAGATGAGATTTATTGCCTTCCGATCATGTTGCACATTGGGGTGAAATATATAGGAATTACTGATAGTTTGTTGT